GCCACGCAGTCATCAACCTATCAACCAAGATCCAAGAGGTAACACCACACCAACTCTTCCTCTTCTATCTAGGGAAATCTTTTGCACCAACACCTGCATTACCAGATTATTCCAAGTTCAGACTGAACATTCTTCAGTTCGCCTACAAGCTTAGATGGGCATGGTTTTGGCACACACAACCCCAGCCAAAAGCAACACCTCCGACCATTGCAGCGATAAAAAGTATGGAAAGAACCCTCATTAAGTCGGATGAAACTAAGCCTTTAAAAGTATGCAATAACCACTGTTTAGAGCTTTACATAGAGAGAGTAACAAAAGACCTGTTACAAACAAACAGCTCTACCAGATCTAAGCTTCCTGACAATATCCCAGTAGAATCCAGAAAAGCCTTATCAGATATGGCAAAGTGGAAAGATGTTGTCATCAGACCAGCTGACAAAGGTTCACAATACTTCTTTTTAGACCGAGAAGACTACATCAAGAGGGTTAAAGAACACCTAGATGCAGAAACCTTTGACACTGTTCAGAAAGAAGAAGCCGAGCATGCTACAAAGCTAGCAATTTCAGATTGGATAGCAAAGTATCAAGAAGAACCTGGTTTAACGGAAAAGGTCTACCAATGGGTTACACCTGATGACTTTTGTAAGCCCGGGAACAACTATGTCAACCCCAAAGCACACAAGCCAGAGAAGAACTACCCTGGTCGTATGATTAGCACAGGATGCGCATCAGCAATCAAGAATCTCTCTGCACTTACAGCGTATGAGCTTACTAAGGTTGATCTAAAATATGCCATCCAGGACAATAATCATATACTAAGAAAACTCGATGACTTGAATAACTCTAAATCCCTTGAGGGCAAGACAGTTATTCACGCATCCTTTGACATAGAGGCTATGTTCCCGAGTATCCAAAAGGAGGTAGGATTGGAACAATGAAGGCTCCATTTGGACAAGAGAGAGGACCCAATACTCTCTACAGATTGTATAATAGATGCCTTAGAGACAACTCTAGACAACAACATAACAGAGTTTGAAGGTGTCATATACAAGCAGAAAAAAGGAACTGCAATGGGACCAAAGAACGCTTGTGCTTACGCAGATACAGCCATCGACAAGATAGACAGAGATGTCATGGAAGGGACTTGGAGCCACCCTCCTCTCCTATGGGCCAGATACCGCGATGATGTGTATGTCCCTTGGACCCATGGACAGGAAATGCTCGAGGAATTCCACTTATGGCTCAATTCTAGAATGCCAGGCATAAAATTCACGTTGAAAGCTTCATTAGAGGGCACTGAATTCTTAGACACTTTTATATACATGAAAGCAGGCCAACTACATACCAAACCTTACAGTAAGCCATGTGATGACCATGCCTTCCTAGTTCCCACCTCTTGCCATCCTACACATACCATAAAAAACATACCTTATAGCACTGCACTTAGAATCTTTAAACTTACTTCTGAGCATGATGAGTACATACAAGCACGAGCACAATACACAAGCTATCTTGTGGCAAGAGGTTATAGCAATAGCTTAATTAACCAGGCCTTTAATAAAGTGGAAACCAAGAGCAGGCTCTCTTACTATCAACAACAGAGACATAAGGAGGATGACAGTAGCAAAGGGAGACTCATTCCCCTTGTAACAGATTTCAACCCAGGTCTCCCCAACATAGGACGGATACTTAACTCCCACAAGCACATCCTCCGTCTAGATCTCGAGCTTTGCAAGGTGATTGACCCTGATGGTATTTTCACCTCTTTTAGAGGGACAAAAACACTTCATGAGATTCTTATTCATAGCAAACTCCCTCCTGTTGAAGAGCCAGCTGTAGAAGATCCAGGCCACGCCTCTCCAGACACAGCTGAGGATTCTGATTCTGGAGGTTGCTTCCCTTGTGCTAAGAAATGTGATCTCTGCAAAAACTTCCTGAAACCATCAACCACAATCGGCAGTTTCCACACCAACCAAGTATTCAGTATCAAAGGACGATTGGACTGTGATACCAAAAATGTTGTGTACATAGTTAATGATAATATTTGTAAGTTAAGTTATATAGGATGTACTTCAGACTCTTTAAAGGTTAGATTTAGGAACCATAAATCCCACATTAAAACTCAAAGAAGGACCTGTGAACTTTCCTGCCATTTTATAGATAATGAGATTTTGCACAATCTTGACCGTACAACCACTAAGTTGTTTACCAGTACTTTAAGTAAGGACATTAATGTTTCTATTATAGAGCAAGTCGACGTTGGGAATTTTGAGCAATGTGCCCAGGATAGACTAAGTATTTGTAAACAAAGGGAGAACTTTTGGCAAAACCAGCTTAAAACTTTAAAGCACTTTGGAGGGATGAACGTTAGAGAAGAAAGATGATTTTCTTCTTGCATATTTTATTTTCTCACCTCTACCACTCATTTGGGATTTCAACCCACCATAACTTGAATTGCTGAGTTACATAAATTTCTAAATTTTAAATTTCTTCTTTTTGATTGATTGATGGGTTGATATTTCGAATAAATTTACTAACATGTCTTTATATCAGGATGACTGTAAAGGTACATTTTACCGACATTTGAAGTCAAGGCGTTGTTTTACTGATAGTTGTGGCTAACTAATAATATACATATATACATATATATTCAGGGATAGACGCTTTGCCAGTCAATTGTAGCCTGTATTTAATTGTCCATAGATTCAAAAGTATAAAAGATACAGCCATTTCCGACCACAGGTCTTGAAAATAATTGTTTACACTTTAGTTTACATTGTATAAACAAATTATTTGACGTCATGAACACCCCTTGATGACGTCATCAAGTTAACCGTTTTTAAAACTTGATTTTTGACAAAGTAATAACTTTTAAAAATGATTTTACACCATTAAAAAGTAATTTTATTCAAAATCTGAGGAAATTTTCATCTTAGATAATTGTTCAAGCATTCTGAAAATCTACCGGAAAGTTTTTCTAGCTTGCTCCTTCATAAAGATATTCGTCATTGAAGTTTGTGCTTTTTTGAAGAATTATTTTATAAAAACGTCAATTTTGCGATTTAGTATTCTCTGGTGTTGGGCCATGCCTTGGGTTGTGGAGCTCAGTTCTGCTTCCTATAGATATAAATTGTGCATTAGGCTAGTTTTAAAGTTAAAAATCGAAAAGTTGCACACGTGGGGACACGCCCAAATTGATAGAAAATTGCTAAAATCACTGAAAATTGCTGTTTTCGTCATTTTCTGTCAACTTTAGAGTGCCGTTGTGATAACAGTTCTTCTTGAAATACTTTGAAACTTTGCATGCTTATCAAGCTATATATACAACAATTACATGCAAAATTTTACGGAGATTCAATATTGGATGCGCACGCAACGTCCGCTCAAAGTTTGCACGTGCGAAAGGTGAGAATTTTGCTCATTTGTGATTTCCAACAAATTCTGCTTTGCCACGACAGTTTAATGTCATTATAAATGAATTTAATGCCAACTTGAATGAGTATTAAGTGGCATATTCAGTCAGTGATCGACCGATATGCTTACCTAAACACAAGGAAATGTTTTTAAAGGAAAAATTTCGAAATTGTTGAAACTTCCTCCTTATTAATGAAGATATCAGTTTATATTTCGACTTTATAAAGTACCCTGACATTATAATCAAAAAGAGATGATATTTGACCAAAACCCATAATCATGGGTAGAGTGGACCGCTGCCAGTGTCTCTCTTTCCCAAACAAAAGGAAATGATATTAATTTGATTGACCGTTCTCAAATGCAAAATGATACCGAGAATGAAATCGGTCGCTCGCTTTTCCCATTCATTTACAATTGTAATAGATTAAGAAGAACTACCCAAAGGCAGCTGTACTCAGCAATAAAGATTCAATAAACTTCAGCTAATTCAATAAGTAATAACTACCACCCTTACCCCGAAATACTAGGTATCGACCCGAACGCAACCCAAAGAGATTTTTACAGCATTTGATTGATGTACCTAATCAATCGAAACTTATTACAATTCGTAAGCCGTGAATGAATGGGAAAAGCGAGCGACCGATTTCATTCTCGGTATCATTTTGCATTTGAGAACGGTCAATCAAATTAATATCATTTCCTTTTGTTTGGGAAAGAGAGACACTGGCAGCGGTCCACTCTACCCATGATTATGGGTTTTGGTCAAATTTATAATATACAATTTTTAAATGAAATAACACCTGAAGCTGTAAAGACCACCGTCGCAAGAATACACTTCTTTTAAATGATGTGAGATTGTGTAGGGGCCCGATACTGCAGAGAAGTCTGGAAGGGCTATTGGAATATCTTTGTTCCCTTCTGAGAAAAATATCATTGTAGTTGCAAACTTTGGTACACAATAAACCTGCATTTTATAAGAAATACAGGATGAGCCAGCTGTTTCTCAATTTATCATGCATTATTCTACTCTATTATCAATTTATTAGTGTTGCCACAGACCTTCTGTTAATTTGTCGGTGTAAGATTGAAGGTCGAATTAAGGAACCATACAACTTAAAAGTTTAAATGTCTTAAAACAATGTAAACTGAATCATAAGAAAAACAAACCATGATAGTGAAGGAATACACTCAATGGCTTGATGTCTCCAAGGACTGAAACTGAAAAGATTGCAGTCGACCTTTCAAAAACGGCTTTTACTTTGGAAATTGCTGCTTCAACTGACTTGACGGATATTACGTCGCATGTTTGCTGTTGACCAGAAAGGAAAATAACCGCTCTGTAATCTGAAACATAGACTTAAAAACTTCAAAATTAAAATGCATCTTTAATTATATTTTGATTTTAAACTATATTAGAGAGATGTTTTATCCAAAAATAAATTATGCATGTGTTTTATAAAGTGCAGCAGCATCAGCAACTCCAGACACCACGGTTAAACAATAACATGACACTAGTTTAACTAAAATATCGGGATTTCAAAATTATTGAAGAACCTATCAATATCATATTATAACCTGTAACATCGCTACTCGCCAATCTCTGAATGAGGAGTTTGGTAGACATCACACCTTTCTTATCAATTGGAGAGATAAGTGTACGGTACTGGTGATCCGATGGAAGACTTTCCCAATTCATTGACCGTCCATCTAGTAGTAATTATTAAAGTTTTATTAGATTAGCATTCTCTAAACTTCTTGAGTTACTTACTTGTACTTACTTTCTTGGGTTAAGTTTTGTTAAACTAAAACACAGCATTTAGTATAGCTAGAACTTAGTTCTACTCCCTTTAATAATTGATTTGTTTTTGATTTAGTTTTGTTTGTTATAAATGGTATAAAATTAAAATTTCTACTGAACTGAAATTTTTGTTTAACTGTAAACATTAAGTTTAAACTTGTTTTAACAATGACATCTTATCATTCAAAAAACATATAACTGTGAACACAATTACTTTTGTTAACTTAGATACAGCTTACTTACTTCTTTTCTGCCATGTGATCCTGACATCGGATACGTCTATGGCAGTGAAATATGTAGTCAAAATGGCTCGTCGTCCCTCCGTTGTCAGAACTGGTGTCATGGCAACGGCTTCACCTAATAGGATAAACATCGGGAGGTTAATTAAAATGTTTCAACGTTTCCCAGAAATATATTGACAATGTCTGTTTCATAGCACCTAAAAAATATTTTAAAAAAGATAAATAAATATTTTCAATTTCAAGAGAAAAGGCTTAATTTCACATAAAAATCAAAAAATTCATATTACTTAATGAACTTTCAGATAAACGTTTAGGAACAATGAAATGTTCCATAAAGATTATAACAACACTTGCCGATAAACGAGAATTTCTTGCTAAGAGATACTTGAACTGAATTCTGGATCCGGACGGAATAATCACAAGCACCATGTTGTGAAACTAAATCATCTTTTGAGCGTGCTGTCATAGAATCAGAACTGAAGATCATCAAATGAATAACCTACATGTTCTGCCATGCTTTCATTCTGTTGAATTTTTCAATAGGTTCAGGACCGATTGTTGAACTTTACATGATACTTTTAAAGAGGAATATGGTGCAAGATATCTTAAGATATTATAATAATGAGAGAGGATTATTTAAATGTGAACTCTCAAAAGAGGTTCTAACCTTAGAAGGAGAAAAACTTCAGTAAAGATTATCCCATCATCTACGATATCTAAACTCGTCGATGTACTAGCAGAATTCACCTGGTATGATAGATTGATAATTTAAATTCAGCCATGTATAAATTATGTACATTATGTGTACATTATGTATACATTCATGTATACATTTTTTGATCGTTAACCTAATTATATTTAGAAGTGTACTTACAACAATTGGGCATCAAATCGTGAAAGGCCAATAAATTGTGATGCTTATTTTTAATTTCTTAAAACGTATGTTCGATATCACAAATATTATTAATTTTCACTCACAAGAGAGCAATCCAAATTCCTTGACAGCGGTGCTGAAGGTGCGTGAGTTACAAAAGTCACCACAGCTCCTGTATCTGGAGTCAGGACTATCAAATCGATATCACTTTCAATCCTTATTTCGTTCAGATGACTTATTGGTGTATCGATGGTATGTCCTGAGATTGCAGAGGTTTGTGAGTTAAATCATATCTTAAATTGAAACATTTTTTTACTTTAAAAAAACGTTTTTGCTGTTTTAATTGCGCTGCACCAGGGCCATCAAGTGAAATAAATGACCACCCTTATGCTTTACTTCGCACAACCATGGCTTTATAGTTACGGCATATAACCGGCACTTAAAGGAAACCGAAGGATCAAGTCTAACGCCAGGCGACGGTTAAGGTGTAATACCACACTTTCCTCACCCGAAGCTTCACTGTATTGATCATTAACAGCTCCTCATTTAACCCTCACACACGTTTTCTCGAGCATTCGGCTGAGTAGACCGGGGGCTGCATAGGTCCAACGGAACCATTAACAGAGCGTCAACGACGCTCACCCCATGGCTAGCGGCACAGAAGGGAATCGAACCTGGGACCCTCATTTGAATGCGAGGCATTTCACAAGCAGGCAGGCAGGCAGACTAACGAACTGCGCCACATAGCCATTTTGATTATTTGATTATTTGGGGAGATTATTTGGGGAGACTATTATTTTCAATTAATAAAATAACCCAAGCCTGATAGAAAAATAACTCTTTTACCAGAACTATACTGTGCCCGACAGTAAAGAGATCCAGCAGCTGCACTGGAGTGAGTAACTTTGATTTTCCACTGGACTCTTGTTGTAGAATATACTTTTTCTGACATTTTAAAGATGACAACTTCATGGTGTTTATTGTAAGTAAAACCGGTGTTGCATACAACCTTGCTGTCCAGCATCCATCTGAAATTTTAAATTGTTCTAATATTTCTTTAGGCATTAAATTATTAGGGAAGTGAAATGTACAACACATTAATCTTCAAATTTTACGCGCAATAAAGTTCGCAAAAAACAAAAAATTGAGACCAATGATATAACAATAACTAACCGCAAATTATCCAAAATAGAAATGTTTAGGTTGAATGGTAGAGAACAGGTGACTACTGATTAATTCGTTAATTATATATAATTAACGAAATGAAGCTTACTGCTTGCTGCTTCTGTGTAAAAGTATATAATTAAAGAAATGAAGCTTACTGCTTGCTGCTTCTGTGTAAAAGCATATAATTAACGAAATGAAGCTTACTGCTTGCTGCTTCTGTGTAAAAGTATATAATTAAAGAAATGAAGCTTACTGCTTGCTACTTCGGTGTAAAAGTATATAATTCAGTTAAACAAAAACTAAGTTAAACAAAAATTCAATTTTATGCCATTTATTATATACAGAGTGAACAAGTTTACAATAAATCAATTTGATATTTAAAGGAATCCTAATTCAATGTGTAGTATGGTTTTCACTCTTTAAATAGATTAGATATAGGTTGACGGGGCAAAGGAGTGTGCGTGCTGTTCGCTATTGCTCACACCAAACGGCAACCTAGTAAATGTTTTGTATGGACACCGGTCTCCATCACGATACAAAATTAGGATTGTAGAATTTATTGTATAACTTTTAGTGCAGTGGAGGAAGCGGTGTGGTGCATTAATAGAGTGACAGCCTACTGATTTATAGTTGTTTTTAACTGAGCATAATGGGTATATTTTTGGACCTAAAGGCTTTACTATGGAAACTTTAAAATTGGTTCTTTTAATCATTTATTAAATATCACTTAAAAAATATATAAATCTGGAATCTGTTCACACTGTGAACCAGTCCTATAAAAAAACCTCTTAAATCAATATTTAAAACGTCTCAATAATGGAAATAGTCATACAATTAAGAAATTTACCAAATTCTTAATATCTACCTTAAGAGAAAAATACCTACCTAAGTCAATGTCTACCTGTAATACACTAAATATTAGGTTAAATACATAGGTGGTGGAGTCAGCACACATTTACCAAAATCAAAAATTGTTTAATAGGAGGAACCTGTGGGCCGAGAACACTGGATTAAATTTGTTGAAGGGTATTGTTTTCAAATGACAGCTGCATTATGTCATAATCGCTTGAAGTCCATGCTGAATCATTATAAGCATGTTGCAGCTTTAGAAGTGCCTTTTTCAGGCGACTTTTAGCAAGGCTAATCTTGTAGGAGTAGTCATAAAGCTTAAGTTTAGGTGCAATTGTGCTCCAAATTTTTGTGGATCTTGATATGAAGTCATTAGATGGGAGTTGTGAAATGAGAGTGGTTTCCTTTCTAGAAGATGGCTGATAATGCTGTTGCAGTGATGCTGGGCACCTTAATTTCAGTATTTTAAAAACTTCCATAAAAGTGTGATATGTATATGAATTTTTGAAAGCCAGGATGTTTTGTTGCTTGAAAAGTGGTTTACAGTGCTCTAGTTGAAAGAATGTATGGTCAAGTGCCTGGTTAATTAAAGAAATGGAGCTTACTGCTTGCTGCTTCTGTATAAAAGCAGCGCCAGGCCCCAACTGTATACACGTCCACAACGAGGCTGATTTTGGAGTACTTTGGGGTGTCAATAACATTCCTGTGAGTAAGATATTTTATAGTTTCTAGACTACAAATGTTGTCCAAATGAATTCATATAAAATCTAATCCACCTGTAAGATAAATAATTTCTACGTGTATCTTAGTACCACCTGCACAGAGCGGATCACGTTAGACGTACCTGCAAGTTTCGTCAAACACAGAGAGTCATTGTGCTTCCACCAAAAGTGTCCTTCAGCAATCGAAGAAAAGAAATGAGAAGACTTCAACTCGATAGTTGCTCCTTTGAAAGCTCTTATCACATTCATCGGTGTCAGAGACAAATCTGTTATATTATATTATTTGTATTAGCGAGTAAAACTATACTGGACATCTTACTTCATTTATATAGTCTGCAGCTGCATTTACCTAGTTGGTTTATTAGGCACGGTTACAATTTCTAAACTCATGAAAGCTTTTATAAAACAAATTCAGTCCTCTTCCAAAATATTAGCAGTCTAATTATTTGTTATTGAAATATTCTAGCACTATCAAAACATAAATCAACAAATGAAACTGTATTTAGCCGCTTCATTTCATTCATTCGATTGTATTGAATAATTCAAAATATTTAATTATTTTGTATATTAATTTTTTTGCTCATCCTGAAATTATTTAAAAAACGTTTAGTATGATAAGTTAGATTACCATTCACTTCAACTTTGGAGATGAAACTATACTCTTGACCAAGCGCGAAGACTATACAGGTGTACGAAGCATCTTCACTTAGAAACTCTAACCGCAAACTTGTGGATGTCGTGCTATTTTTTCAGTTTCCTTTCTAGTATCTGTAAGAATAATCATGTTTGCAATATAGTAGTAATACCAATAGTAATATTAAAGGGCACCAAACAGTTAAAAGGTTTCATCAAGTAACACAAAAACGTGAAATATAACCTTCAAATATAGTATTTTGGTGCGACCAAGCAACTGTCAATGTGTCAGTAGGAAAGATCACAGTGCACTTCAATACTGCTGGGTCTCCTGTTCTAACAAAATCATCGGTTGTGCTGAAATCAGAATAGAAATGTTTGGTAAATTTTTTTAAAAATGAGAGAACTATATGGTTCAAAATCAGGTTCTTTTAGTCTGCAAATTGTAGCCTAAGGTACAATATCGGATAAGCTTCCTGTGTCCTGTACTACACTAATTAATCAGTAACCTACCGAACTGTGAAGGTTTTGAGAGGCACCAAGGTATCATCATATTGATCTGTTTCTCCTACTGTAATCCTACATGTAAATAGTTGATCACCTAACAAAGTCACATTAGCTGAAAGGGTTATACTCGACTCCTTCATCCCATCCTTTAGTGCTCCGTCACTGATTAATTTAAGGAGTAAATAATCAAACAGTATCTGCATTTTTGCAACAAATTGTAAGGTATCAATTGATCTATGATCTGTAAATTTTAAATGTTTTATCGAATGGTTCAGTTATTGGTCTACTGAGATGATATAAAAGAAGACCTGACAGTGATATCAGAACTATCTGAATGATGACAGAATAATGTTCCTCCAGAGTCCACCCAATAAATATGTACAGAGTTAGAAGCTACTCCTTTTATTGAACAAGTCAGCGTTGTCGCAGTGCCTGCTGGCACATCATAGCTGTTCACGCTTACCTCTGAAATTTATACATCAAACATAAGTAAGTTGGTAGAATGTACAGTAATTTTTAAATTTCTACAATTTATAACCCGCGCATGATGTCATTTATTTGATATGAATTTTAGTTTGGCTGTAAGATATATTGCAGGATTACTGTTAGCGTTTAAAGAACATACCATTAACGTTTAGATTGACAGTGGTATCAGAGAAATTGGAATCAGATAAAGATCCAGAAGTGACTCTGCAAGTGTAGGCAGTATCGTCGTTCACAAGAGTTCCGTCTACGGCAAGAGTTGATGTCTGTGTCCCGTCGGAGTGACTTCCTTGGGTAGGAACGAGCTTATCGCCTGAAACTGGTCCTGTACTAGTTCGCCAGGTCACTGCTGCTGTTTCTGTTATGCCAGTGATGATACATGAAATCGTTGCGTAAGAGCCTTTCTTCACTTCTGTGTTAACTGACTCAACGTCTGAAGTGAGTTTTGGTACATTTACAAACTCTACAATTTATAACCGACGGATCATCAAAACAATTTCTTTAACTGATTTGAATGAAAATATGGAGATTGGAGGTGAGATAACATTTTATCCACGACCACAACTCAAAAAGTACATTGCAAGATTACTGTTAGCGTTTAAAGAACATACCATAAATGTTTAGATTGACAGTGGTATCAGAGAAGTTGGAATCGGGCAAAAATCCGGAAGTGACTCTGCAAGTGTAGGCAGTATCTTCGTTGACAAGAGTTCCGTATACAGCAAGAGTTGATGTCTGTGTCCCGTCAGAGTTACTTCCTTGGGTAGAGACGAGCTTATCGCCTGAAACTGGTCCTGTACTAGTTCGCCAGGTCACTGCTGCTGTTTCTGTTATGCCAGTGATGATACATGAAATCGTTGCGTAAGAGCCTTTCTTCACTTCTGTGTTAACTGACTCAACGTCTGAAGTGAGTTTTGGTACATTGACAAACTCTACAATTTAAAAATGAAGGATCATCAAAACAATTGCTTTAACTGATTTGAATGAGGATATGGAGATTGAAGGTGAGATAAATGTTTGTCCACGACCACAACTCAAAAAGTACATTGCAAGATTACTGTTAGCGATTAAAGAACATACCATAAAAGTTTAGATTGACAGTGGTATCAAAGAAGTTGGAATCGGGCAAAGATCCGGAAGTGACTCTGCAAGTGTAGGCAGTATCTTCGTTGACAAGAGTTCCGTCTACGGCAAGAGTTGATGTCTGTGTCCCGTCGGAGTGACTTCCTTGGGTAGGAACGAGCTTATCGCCTGAAACTGGTCCTGTACTAGTTCGCCAGGTCACTGCTACTGTTTCTGTTATGCCAGTGATGATACATGAAATCGTTGCGTAAGAGCCTGTCTTCACTTCTGTGTTAACTGACTCAACGTCTGAAGTGAGTTTTGGTACATTTACAAACTCTACAATTTATAAATGACGGATCATCAAAACAATTGCTTTAACTGATTTGAATGAGAATATGGAGATTGGAGGTGAGATAAAAGTTTGTCCACGACCACAACTCAAAAAGTACATTGCAAGATTACTGTTAGTGTTTAAACTTTTAAAGAACATACCATAAACGTTAAGATTGACAGTGGTATCAGAGAAGTTGGAATCGGGCAAAGATCCGGAAGTGACTCTGCAAGTGTAGGCAGTATCTTCGTTGACAAGAGTTCCATCTACGGCAAGAGTTGATGTCTGTGTCCCGTCGGAGTGACTTCCTTGGGTAGGGACGAGCTTATCGCCTGAAACTGGTCCTGTACTAGTTCGCCAGGTCACTGCTGCTGGGTCTGTTATGCCAGTGATGATACACGAAATCGTTGCGTAAGAGCCAATCTTCACTTCTGTGTTAACTGACTCAACGTCTGAAGTGAGTTTTGGCACATTTACAAACTCTACAATTTATAAATGACGGATCATCAAAACAATTTCTTAAACTGATTTGAATGAGAATATGGAGATTGGAAGTGAGATACAAATTTGTCCACGACCACAACTCAAAAAGTACATTGCAAGATTACTGTTAGCGTTTAAAGAACTTACCATAAACGTTTAGATTGACAGTGGTATCAGAGAAGTTGGAATCGGGCAAAGATCCGGAAGTGACTCTGCAAGTGTAGGCAGTATGTTCTTTGACAAGAGTTCCATCTACGGCAAGAGTTGATGTCTGTGTCCCGTCAGAGTGTCTTCCTTGGGTAGGGACGAGCTTATCGCCTAAAACTGGTCTTGTACTAGTTTGCCAGGTCAATGCTGCTGTTTCTGTTATGCCAGTGATGATACATGAAATCGTTGCGTAAGAGCCTTTCTTCACTTCTGTGTTAACTGACTCAACGTCTGAAGTGAGTTTTGGTACATTTACAAACTCTACAATTTATAAATGACGGATCATCAAAACAATTTCTTTAACTGATTTGAATAAGAATATGGAGATTGGAGGTGGAATAAAATTTTGTCCACGACCACAACTCAAAAAGTACATTGCAAGATTACTGTTAGCGTTTAAAGAACATACCATAAACGTTTAGATTGACAGTGGTATCAGAGAAGTTGGAATCGGGCAAAGATCCGGAAGTGACTCTGCAAGTGTAGGCAGTATCTTCGTTGACAAGAGTTCCATCTACGGCAAGAGTTGATGTCTGTGTCCCGTCAGAGTGTCTTCCTTGGGTAGGGACGAGCTTATCGCCTAAAACTGGTCCTGTACTAGTTCGCCAGGTCACTGCTGCTGTTTCTGTTATGCCAGTGATGATACATGAAATCGTTGCGTAAGAGCCTTTCTTCACTTCTGTGTTAACTGACTCAACGTCTGAAGTGAGTTTTGGTACATTTACAAACTCTACAATTTAAAAATGACGGATCATCAAAACAATTGCTTTAATTGATTTGAATAAGAATATGGAGATTGGAGGTGAAATAAAATTTTGTCCACGACCACAACTCAAAAAGTACATTGCAAGATTACTGTTAGCGTTTAAAGAACATACCATAAACGTTTAGATTGACAGTGGTATCAGAGAAGTTGGAATCGGGCAAAGATCCGGAAGTGACTCTGCAAGTGTAGGCAGTATGTTCGTTGACAAGAGTTCCATCTACGGCAAGAGTTGATGTCTGTGTCCCGTCAGAGTGTCTTCCTTGGGTAGGGACGAGCTTATCGCCTAAAACTGGTCTTGTACTAGTTTGCCAGGTCAATGCTGCTGTTTCTGTTATGCCAGTGATGATACATGAAATCGTTGCGTAAGAGCCTTTCTTCACTTCTGTGTTAACTGACTCAACGTCTGAAGTGAGTTTTGGTACAATTACAAACTCTACAATTTATAAATGACGGATCATCAAAACAATTTCTTTAACTGATTTGAATAAGAATATGGAGATTGGAGATGACATAAAATTTTGTCCACGACCACAACTCAAAAAGTACATTGCAAGATTACTGTTAGCGATTAAAGAACATACCATAAAAGTTTAGATTGACAGTGGTATCAAAGAAGTTGGAATCGGGCAAAGATCCGGAAGTGACTCTGCAAGTGTAGGCAGTATCTTCGTTGACAAGAGTTCCATCTACGGCAAGAGTTGATATCTGTGTCCCGTCGAAGTGACTTCCTTGGGTAGGGACGAGCTTATCGTCTGAAACTGGTCCTATACTAGTTCGCCAGGTCACTGCTGCTGTTTCTGTTATGCCAGTGATGATACATGAAATTGTTGCGTAAGAGCCTTTCTTCACTTCTGTGTTAACTGACTCAACGTCTGAAGTGAGTTTTGGTACATTTACAAACTCTACAATTTAAAAATGACGGATCATCAAAACAATTGCTTTAATTGATTTGAATAAGAATATGGAGATTGGAGGTGAAATAAAATTTTGTCCACGACCACAACTCAAAAAGTACATTGCAAGATTACTGTTAGCATTTAAAGAACATACCATAAACGTTTAGATTGACATTGGTATCAGAGAAGTTGGAATCGGGCAAAGATCCGGAAGTGACTTTGCAAGTGTAGGCAGTATCTTCGTTGACAAGAGTTCCATCTACGGCAAGAGTTGATATCTGTGTCCCGTCGAAGTGACTTCCTTGGGTAGGGACGAGCTTATCGTCTGAAACTGGTCCTATACTAGTTCGCCAGGTCACTGCTGCTGTTTCTGTTATGCCAGTGATGATACATGAAATTGTTGCGTAAGAGCCTTTCTTCACTTCTGTGTTAACTGACTCAACGTCTGAAGTGAGTTTTTGTACATTTACAAACTCTACAATTTAAAAATTACGGATCATCAAAACAATTGCTTTTATTGATTTGAATAAGAATAGTGAGATTGGAGGTGAAATAAAATTTTGTCCACGACCACAACTCAAAAAGTACATTGCAAGATTACTGTTAGCATTTAAAGAACATACCATAAACGTTTAGATTGACATTGGTATCAGAGAAGTTGGAATCGGGCAAAGATCCGGAAGTGACTCTGCAAGTGTAGGCAGTATCTTCGTTGACAAGAGTTCCGTCTACGGCAAGAGTTGATGTCTGTGTCCCGTCGGAGTGACTTCCTTGGGTAGGGACGAGCTTACCGCCTGAAACTGGTCCTGTACTAGTTCGCCAGGTCACTGCTACTGTTTCTGTTATGCCAGTGATGATACATGAAATCGTTGCGTAAGAGCCTTTCTTCACTTCTGTGTTAACTGACTCAACGTCTGAAGTGAGTTTTGGTACATTTACAAACTCTACAATTTATAAATGACGGATCATCAAAACAATTTCTTTAACTGATTTGAATAAGAATATGGAGATTGGAGATGACATAAAATTTTGTCCACGACCACAACTCAAAAAGTACATTGCAAGATTACTGTTAGCGTTTAAAGAACATACCATAAACGTTTAGATTGACAGTGGTATCAGAGAAGTTGGAATCGGGCAAAGATCCGGAAGTGACTCTGCAAGTGTAGGCAGTATCTTCGTTGACAAGAGTTCCGTCTACGGCAAGAGTTGATGTCTGTGTCCCGTCGGAGTGACTTCCTTGGGTAGGGACGAGCTTATCGCCTGAAACTGGTCCTGTACTAGTTCGCCAGGTCACTGCTGCTGTTTCTGTTATGCCAGTGATGATACACGAAATCGTTGCGTAAGAGCCTATTTTCACTTCTGTGTTAACTGACTCAACGTCTGAAGTGAGTTTTGGTACAATTACAAACTCTACAATTTATAAATGACGGATCATCAAAACAATTTCTTTAACTGATTTGAATGAGAATATGGAGATTGGAGGTGAGATAAAATTTTGTCCACGACCACAACTCAAAAAGTACATTGCAAGATTACTATTTGCGTTTAAAGAACATACCATAAACGTTTAGATTGACAGTGGTATCAGAGAAGTTTGAATCGGGCAAAGATCCGGAAGTGACTCTGCAAGTGTAGGCAGTATCTTCGTTGACAAGAGTTCCGTCTACGGCAAGAGTTGATGTCTGTGTCCCATCAGAGTTACTTCCTTGGGTTGGGATTTGCTTATCGCCTGAAACTGGTTCTGTACTTGTTCGCCAGGTCACAGTTGCTGTGTCTGTTATGCCAGTGATGATACACGAAATTGTTGCGTAAGAGCCTTTTTTCACTTCTATGTTAACTGACTCAACTTCTGAAGTGAGGTTATTTGAACGATTCAATGAAAGGTTGCATTAGCGTTAAAAATCGAAGATTTTTAATTGTTTTCTGAACAATTTGTAGTCTAAATGCTAATTAAATTAATTTCAACCCAATAATATTGGGTGCTCTGCTGCATGCGATCGAATGACAAATTGACACGCGAGTGCAGACGGTTTTTGATATGTCAAGAATTTAGATAACTGACCATGGTGCTAAAATCAAATATAATGTAATTGATGCAATCAATTGATAATTTACTTGTAACTGGCGGACACCCAGAATTAACTTTTCTCACGTTACCAGTTCTGGGCTGACTTAGAATACTTTCCCAGGTGATGAACCGGACATTATCGAACTTCTTTTCCACTTCAGAACATCTGCCACCCTGATACAGCTCTGCAACTTCTGTCCTGCTTAGTTCCTTTCCAAATATATTCAACTTCATCAGCTGTCCTCCGAATATTTCAGATTCACTTGGGCCGCTGTCTCCACTATCATGTCCCAGAAGGATGTAGCCCCCCTCTTCTAATGGAGTATTGCCAACTCTCATTGACCCAACCATAGTTCCGTTGTAGTATACCTTTAGTAATGCAGAGCTTGTGGACCAGCTCTGGCATTGGTGGGTCCATGTGTTCAGCGGCACCGAAACAGACACACCGTGACAGTTGCCGTGAATGTAGTTATAGCTTCCAGCGTCAGAGATGAGGATTTCGTATCCATGAGTACTTGTTGTGTAGGTTATCCAGGATCTGGCTGTCCCAGTCTGCTGTTTCTTAACCCATGAGCATACAGTCAGAGCGTATTTTACATTACTCACATCAGGGTAGAATCTAACGTAATCACCGAATGTGATGCCGAATTGGAGTGATTGAGCTGCTACAGTGGGCTGGACCATTTGTAGGAATCCGAATAGTAGGATTGGTAAAGGGTGCCGGAACATGATTAATTTTGAACCTCAGTTGTTTTGCGGGTATCAAACTGTGCAAGTTGCATCACATCTTAACCTTGTTTAATGAAGTTCTTAACATATAGTTCTGGTAAAAATGAAAGTGATAAGTTGCATAAACAAATATATGTAACTGTAAATTATTATTAAATATAATAAATTTATAATTAGTCCTCGCATGATGAACTATGTGGTTTGCTGGAAGTACATCAGTGACCGGGTATGCTATGTCGATATTTGCATCCCCTCACGTAGCGGTACACCCCTACGTTGCAGGGTGATCAATGCCTACTGTCCACATCAGGGGCTAGTCCGTAAAAATCCAGTTGTTTTGGATAACTTTTACGGGCAGCTAAGAGAGGCCAAGAATGTACCCTCTAATGTGGAGTTGCAATTTCTGGGTGACTTTAATTCAAAACTGGGTAAATTATCCCCTTCTGATATTGAACAGGGTTTTGGTAGATATATGGGGAAATACGGAATGGGAGTATAAGGAACGAAAATGGTTCTAGATTACTGGATTTTATCTCAGAAAATAATCTGTTTGCTGTGAACACTAGTTTTATACAATCTAGCAGACGTGTTACATCATTTACTGGTTGGCGGAAGGATTGGTCGGCTGGTCGGTACAGTAAGAAGACACTGCCTGTATACTCTCAAATAGATTACATACTATGCCGAAATAGATCTAAGTGTCTTTTGACTCAATCAAGAACTTATGCTGGTACTAAAACATTTTCAGATCATAGACTTGTCATTGCTCGCATCAATTTCAGCAACATTCATCTTTGTTTCAAACCTAAACAACGTCGTGTTCCTTCTTATAATATATCAGAACTTGTAAGCTACAAAGATATGCAACATGAATATCACTTGGCCCTTGAAGGCAAGTTCTCAAATTTTGTGACCAGCAACGATCCAAATGCCGACCTTCAAAATCTTATGTCTCATATTCGTGATGCTGCCAATGTTTCCATCGGCCCAAAACCTAAAGCTCGCTTGAAACATCACAGCAGTGATGACACTCTCAAAGAGCTTGTTGAAAAGCGTCACGATCTCCGACAGCTACTTAACAATAATCAATCTCTTGATCGAACTACATTGAGGTCATCCATCAACCACCTCACTAATAGTATCCAGAAAAGATTAGTTGAAGTGAGGTCTGCTCAAGCTGATCAGACCTATAGTGATATTACTAACACAAACGATCCAAGGAAAATGTTTGAAGCAGTAAGACATCTTCAGAAAAGTAAACCACCTAATAACTCGATTGGTGTTCATGATGAAAATGGCTGTTTGATTGCATCTGACGACATGAAAGCTTCTGTTGTTAGAGACTATCTCGAAAAACAGCTGACTCGCAATGAGTAACCTCTCGAGCCTTTTGAGGGTCTACCACGTGCTCTCAATGTCCCTTTTATTGGAGTTGAAATACATGCAGCCACCTCTAGCCTGAAAAATGGGACTATGGGAGGGCAAATGGTCCCGATGGAACACCCAACGAGCTAATTAAGTACTCTAATAGTACAGTCCATGAACATTATGCTGGAATCATCAACAGTTGTTTCGAGACACATACTTTCCCCATTTCCATTTGAGAGGCTACTATAACACCATTACAGAAGCCAAAAAACCTATTGGTCCTCTGAAGAATTTACGTCCACTCACCTTGTCCAATGCAGCCAGAAAAATTCTGTCTATGGCTACTCTTAAAAGGATAGAAGAAAAAGTGAACGCCTTCACTGGTCCATGGCAGTGTGCATATAAACGCGCTCGTTCTTGTGCTGATATTGTTTGGTGTCAGCGAGTTCTACTGTCGGTTGTCCAAAGGAAGAAATGGGAGTATCATCGCATGGGCATTGATATGTCTAGTGCGTTTGACACGATCAAACGCACTACGATTCTTGAACTCCTGAAACTGTGTGGCTGTACTGAGGATGAGCTGAGGATTGTCCGGTTGTTGTTGTCCAACACAAAGCTACGGGTCCAACACAAAGCTACGGGTGAAGGTAAATGGAGTTCTTTCAGCTGAGTTTTTAAGTCTCCTTGGAGCTTTCCAAGGTGACTGTCTATCCGGCTGTCTGTTCACCCTTGTCTTGGCTGGTGCTTTGAATGAACTTAGATGGACTATAACAATCAGTTTAGATAGGCCGATCCCCCCGATTACTATTGCTGGCCTTCCACTTGACACTGAATATGCTGATGATGTTGACTTCAATGATGAAGAGGAAGACAACTTGAGAGCTATTTTGCCCCAGGCAACAGCTATACTCGAGAAATGGAACCTCTTTGTCAATGAAGACAAAACGGACTTCACTCATGTTTATTTAGCTAGTACGGGTGAAGTCGACAGTGATGGAAAATTAGTGTCGGGGAATGAAGCATGGAGGAAAAGTATCACTCTAGGGTCCGTCTTGTGTAGCAAAGCTGATATTCAGCGTCGCATAAACCTGGGATATGCTGCCTTTAACAATTACAAGAAGGCCTGGAATGATAAACTGCCTCTAAACAAACGTCTAATTCTGTATAATGCTTTAGTCGTATCGGTTCTTATGTACAACTCATCCTGTTGGGCCGTCCCCAAAATATTCCTTGAAAAAATAGATGTTGTTCACCGCAGACATCTTCGCACTATTTTGAATATAAAGTACCCAGGAGTCATCTCCAACAAAAACTTGTATAAACGCTGCAATGCTGAACCATTGTCAGAAAAAGTGGCCCGTAGTCGGTGGAGAATGTTAGAAAATGTTTTGCGGGGTCCTATTGACGGACCAGCGTTTTCTTCCCTCATTTTTGCCATCAATACACTGGACTTACCAGGGAGAAGAGGAAGACCCCAAAGCAATCTATTCTCGCTGATTGTGCATGATTTTTGTAAAAGAAATCTTTATTTGAATAATATCTTTGACCTGCATTATCTCCGTAATTTTAGTTATGACAAGAGATATTGGCGGAATTTGCAATGAAGTTTTTAATTTTCAGTTTTTGTTTTAGGGAAAGATTAGACTTGGGCGTTGTTTTTTAACTATCCCTTGTTTAGAACTTTGATTTAATAATAAATATTTTTGTAAAGACACGCCCAAATGTAATAAATCTTTTTAACAGTTTATGTCTCCACTTGATATCCAGATGAATCCGGATTCAGCTCGATTATTGACGGTTATCATCACGGAATATTAGCAACAGGATATTAAATGGAAAGAATTACAAAAATTTTACAATTCTAGGCTTTTTACTTTTTTAGTGTGGAACTGGAAGGCTATATTTGTCGTTTGAGAAAGAAATTATCAAACGGGTAAAAAGGTATCAAATGTATTATTAATATTAATATTATGATTATTGATTATGATATCACGGACAGTGGACTCAAACAATGAATGTAATTTTAATGCATTGCCGAAGGGGGTTTGGATATATAAAATGTAACAACAGCAAGCTAATCGAGCGTGCTAAATCACTCTACAGTCGATCTTCGAGATTGTTCTAAAAAGGCGTCCGACAGTTAAAACCAATTACTTCAATCGATGTATTTTCGGACGCTGATTCAGATTCACCCCCCATGACATAGGGTTAAAATGCTCCCATGACGAGATATTGGCGAAAAACTGTCTCGATCACGTGATATGACCGTATAAGGAAGTTAGTCTAATTTCTCGTTAGGGTTCGGGTTTCAGCATATACTTTTGTTAAACTTAAAGATTGGGTTAGGGTTAGGGTTGGGATCAGATTAGAGGGTTAAAGTTTAGAATAGTCGTTCAGGGCCAGCTAGAGAACCTAAGTTGAAAATGTCACGTGACAGTCCATAGAGTGTAGAAATGATTGACGATGTCAATCCGTCGAGATCGTTGCTCTGCGAAGCAGAGCAACGATCGACGACGCGACGATGCGAAGCAAGAATGCTAGTTTGCGCGGCGCGTCGAACCGGCGAAGTCCTCCAAAGTGTAGAATGATTAATCATCATCCCAAACTAATCTTTTAGTTTTATTATGCAGACCACTCCCTTTCGAATATTGAGACGTCTATTTTGCTGCGCGCGACGATAGCCATGAACAGGGTTAGTCAATGTAGCTTCGTTAAAAACAAATTCCATTATGATATCAGCTGAGAAAAAGCCAATAAATCGTTCAAAACGGATTTTATTTTGCATTTATATTCTGGAAGCGAATAAGATGACACCATGCAGCATGCTGTTAAGGAATCTTATATCGAATCAAGGGCTTGATCGTGCTGATTTGAGAAAGCATCAACATTTTGAATGTTAGATACAAATAATAATTAGGATGAGACAACATAGCAGTCAATAAAGTTGGTACACGATATAACAATCATAAGACATGACGCATTATAATTTACATGAAACAAATCATTGCGCAACATTTGAAGTGACCTACAACAATTCCTGATAAAGTTCCCCAGAAATATAGCGTCCCTTGGAGGATCAACGTTATTATGCTACAGAAACACAGGTCCGTCTAAAAAACTCCAGGGAAGACAAAGATGAGACAGTAACATATAAATTTAAGATCTTCAACCTGTAGAAATCTATTGAAAAACAAAGCTGTGAATGTCAGGCTACGAAACAAGTCAAATTACAGTTTAAAAAGTTTCTATGAGGCTTAGCAGAAAATATGTTCCACTGAAAAACTGTACTGATATTGAAATAACTAATTGATTGCTTACGCTATTTTTCAGGATTTAGAGGACATGATGCCACTATTATAAGCTACTATTGTATTTACATGGGCTTATAGTATTGTATATTAATATATAGCATCTCAGCATGCTAGCTTGTTATCCCAGTCAAATGAGCATCGAGGCGAAGGGTCCTAGACAAGATCCACTCAATCATATCCAATCCAAACACGCCATCTGCGGCATCTTATTCTCATCACTCATCAACAACAACAGTGAAATCATTGGGTTGATCACGGGCGAAAGTCAAATCCACCTCACGAGAGTAGTTGCTAGATTTGCCACTACGTGTTTTAACAACC